TCCTCAAAAAAAACCCAATATGTTACTTTGCATTCCTTCCCCTGAACTACAAAAATAATAAAATAAAGTAAGCAATAAATAAATAAATAAAATATAAATATAAATATAAAGTCCCATACACCTAAAGTCCAAAGTAAAGTCCAAAATTCAAAAGTCAAAAAAGGATCCTTTCACGTGATTTCCAATAGCTCTTTTCTTCCTGAATCAAATTAGCAATGTGCTTCAGAAGATCTTCAAATACCTCAAAGAAAAAATCTCAACATAGTGTATTACCCCAATTAATAAAATAAAGTGCCACACGTGTCACATGCAAATGCAAAGAGTGCCACAATAAACGTGAAAAAAAAAAGGAGAAAATAAGCTCTGGACTCTAATACTTAAATTAGTAATTCCACTGCACACAATATAAAAAGTGCATAATTACCCCCACATAAATATAATCAGCATAGGATCCATAATACAGATAGGAAAGTCTCCAAAAATTGTTCTCACATCTCCAACCTTTTCCCATAGACCTCAAACAGACCAGGGATCAGTATGTGTTTAAAAGACAGGCAAATTTTATTGTAGCAACTTACATATAAATTTGATGCGATCAGCTTCCATATAGTGAAATAATCCAGAAGAAGAGACCCCCTCCTTAGCGGTAACTCTTTTCAATCATCATAACACTCTGAAGGAGAGCCAGGCACAAATGGAAGTATCCAGGGTTAGAACAACCACGTGTTCCAGAACCCAAAATGGCCACCACGGTACTTCCGGAAGACGTCATTACGTCACCACGTCACGTGCCCCGGACGCGTTTCGTCACATCCGGACTTTTTCAACAGGGATACGGACGTGTGTCCTCACTAGCTTTAAATATCCGCTGGCTGGAGAATCAGACTCCCGCCGCGGCCATCTTACAACCTGGAAAACCCAATATAAGCCTCTATGCGTCCCAGGTATATTCAGGCTGGCAAAGAGGGGAAAACAAAGCCCCATTATCCACCCTATACACCTTGGTCCGACAAAGCAAATATAAGACTATACAGATGGGAAGCAAACCAAATAGCGACCAATACTGACAATATTACTAAATCAGAATTATATAAAAACAGACATACTTAAAATCAATAAAATCAAATTACTACTCTTCATTCTACTTTATCCCCAACCTTTCTACTCTATTTTAATATATAGTACTACAAATACCTATTGCCATCACCCTCATAAAATACACTAAATATATATATACACCAAGATAGTCTATATCTATATCTCACATATACACAAAATGTATATATATATATATAAAATTAAAGATTCTTTGATTGATTTTATTGATTTTAAGTATGTCTGTTTTTATATAATTCTGATTTAGTAATATTGTCAGTAACTTAAGAATGGAGTGAGTTTGAGGTGATGCCTTGACTTGACCTCCAAATTCTCCCGATCTCAACCCATTTAAACATCTGTGGGATGTGCTAGAAAAATAAGTCAGATTCATGGAGGCTCCACCTTGCAACTTACAGGACTTAAAGGATCTGATGGCTTTGTGGCACTGATGGCTTTGGGGCACATACCGCAGCATACCTTCTGATGTCTAGTGGAGTCCATGGCTTGATGGGTTATGGTGGGTATTCATAATGTGATGATTGGTGTAAATGGCACAGTTAAAAACTCAGGGCAACCAGTCAGAGACTATCAACATATGACTCCGGCTCCTAGAATAAGCCCCACATCAAAAGATAAATTCCTGATTATTTAGCGCCTTTCATGGCTCCCTGTGACTGTTGGTAGAAGTCCGCTTGTTTGTTGCTGTGTGCAGATACAACACTCCCTGACACTTGTAATTAGCTGATTACAGAGAGGGAAGGTGCGGTGTAAAGTGCTGATAACAATGGAGCACCTTCAAAGGGCGCTGCTTCCCTGAGCCAAGATCCCCCCCTTGCTGAAAACAAATCTCTCAGAGTAGGTGACATCCTGCGGGGCGCTGATAACGCTTGTTAGCAGAGCAGCCGAATATCAATTTTCTGCAGCTTATTTTCTTCTTCTTTTTTTTTTTTCCCCTCTCTCTAGTGTATATATGTCTGGTGTGTGATTGGGGGGCGGAGGTGACGTTGCCTCTGTTTCCTGTCCTTCAGGGGTTTATTTTCTTCCGGGAAGAAATACTTATTATATATTGATTGATGGTTACTCTTAAAACTTGTAGAAGGAAATATTTTGTCTGAAATATTGACTTGACTTTGTGTTTGTTGTGTAATTTCCAGCCTTAAGTGACCCGTGGGTAAGAGCCACCAGGTGCAATTCAATATTCCAAGTTTGACGCTACTGTATTTAGTTACATCGGTTCTAGAAAATCCACGTGTAGAGACAAACCTGTGAGTGTTGGAGGTAGTGCTGGGCTTGCTTGGCGTGGGCCTTCTTTGTGGCTGCTATATTTATGGAGGGATGTTGGATCCATTGAGCTCTCAAATTATGGTAGTTGCAGTGGGTATTATTATTATACAGTATTTAGAAAGCGCCAATCGTTCGCTCAGCGCTGTACATTACAAAGGGGGACAGAACATGTGACAGAACAATAACAATACAATGCAAAACATGAGGGGATCGAGGGCCCTGCTCTTTCGAGCTTACAATCTAGGAGGGAGGGGATGCTGGCACAGGAGGAGAAAGCTGTGGGGGATGGAGTGGTAGGAAGAGTGGAGGAGGTCGCAAGTTAGCAGGGGGTGGGGTAGGCTTCCCTGAAGAGATGGGTTTTCAGGGTGCGCCTAAAGGAGAGGAGAGAAGGTGATAATCTGATGGGTTGGGGCAGGGAGTTCCAGAGGATGGGTGACACCCTGGAGAAGTCCTGGAGGCGGGCATGGGAGGAGGAGACCAGGGAACTAGAGAGAAGGAGGTCTTGTGAGGAGCGGAGTGTGGGTGCTGGGCGGTACTTGGATATTAGGTCAGTGATGTAGTACGGGGCAGTATGGTGGACAGCTTTGTACGTCAGCGTTAGGATTTTGAATTTGATCCGTTGCGCAATCGGAAACCAGTGGAGGGATTGGCAGAGGGGGTGGCGGAAATGGAGCGGTTGGAAAGGTGAATGAGTCTGGCAGCCGTATTCAGGATGGACTGAAGCGGGGATAGCCAGCGGCGAGGCAGGCCAGTGAGGAGGGAGTTGCAGTAGTCGAGTCGTGATATATGAGGGAGTGGATGAGCTGTTTAGTGGTTTCTGGGGTTAGGAACGTGCGGATTTTGGCGATGTTGCAGAGGTGGAGTTTGCACAAGTTTGTTAAAGATTGGACTTGGGGCTGGAAGGATAGGTTGGAGTCCAGAATGACACAAAGTACTCTGGCCTGCGGGGCGAGTTTGGTGGTGGCGTTGTGGGACATGATGGAGAAGTCAATGGGGGGTGGTGTCCGGGCTGGGGGGAAGACAAGAAACTCGGTTTTGGAGAGGTTCAGTTTAAGGAAGTGGAGCGACATCCAGTCTGATATGTTGCTCAGTAGGTGTGTGATTTGGGCGGAGACCGAGGGGGTGAGGTGGGGGTTGAGAGATAGATTTGTGTGTGTTGGCCAAGGGAGGAGGAGGTGTAGATAGAGAAGAGAAGGGGCCCTAGGACGGAGCCGTGTGAATAAAGGATCCTTGTGAATAAAGGATCTTGAAAACCTCCAGTTGTTAATTTGTTGAACAGAAAATGTGAATACAAAAGCCAACACGTTTCAGATTTAAACCTCTTTTTCAGGGCTAAAGGTCCAAGAGTTTCAGTCTGAGCTCAACTTTATCCAAGAACCCTGGCTCCACAAACCGTTGCATTTCTCACATTGTGAGCAAGTGCAGCAAGTAAGATAGAGCCAGAATCATTTCCTGACCTGACAATGTCCGGTAATATCTATCCCTTTATTCTCCAGCCTCTGTTCCCTCGGCCCTCCCCTTTCATTAATTGAATTTCAGTTCTTTCAATGTTGAAGGCTCAGCTTTACATGCGGGCATTGCTGAGGGTGATCAGCATACGTATGCGGTTTCTCTAAGAATGCCTATTCTTCTAGACTGATATCCGTTCACCAAGAAGGTTTGATATTTGCATAACTCAAGACCCAGCTCCTGTCAGAGCTGAGGGCCGTTGAGGGGACTACTGAAGCAGGGTGCTGTGATGTTTTCAGGAAGCATTGCCTATGTGGTCAGGTGATGACTGGGCCCAATTTATACAAGAGGTCTGTTTTATGTACAGAACCCTGCTTGCCCTTCCCACCAGCCATGCATTGCCTGCATTGCATAGAGAAGCATAACGACAAAATTATAACACCAATGAGTTTAAAAAATTGATTGAATACACTGGGTGGAATATAACCCTTCCCTAAATAAAAGTTTTCCTTTAGATGCACGTATACGCATTATGTATTTTGCAATGCATGCACTGGTGGATTTTCTATCTGTCATACATTTTGCATTAATGAAGGATGTATGGAATAAAATGCCCCTATTTTTAGGTTATCATCTTCCAGGAATGGGAATTTACCGTTTTGGTGGCTGATTTGAATGTACACCGCCATCGCCGGCACAGCAGTAAATCATTTGTGGAGTCAGGAAAGATCGTTTTTGTCTCAAAAGGGAGATATTGTATCAAAATCTTCTTCTATTACCCAATTACCTGATATTATTCATGCTGTTAGACCTAGTTTGGAAGAGGCAGGTGCAGTAAATCTGCTAAAATGACAGGTATTCATACAGATCACGCTGTGAGAAGCATGTTTCTGATCTGAATTGTGCTGGAGCTCTCCAGGCTTCTCTCTGTTTTCGCTGAGACGCATGTGATTTGAATTTCCCCGGTAATGTGAGCATTCAGAATAATAGATCCAAACCTTTAGTACAGCCATTCTCAACCAGGGTTCCTCCAGAGGTTACTAGGGTTTCATCGTGCTTTGGCTGATTGACCTTTTATTTGATGCTACCTGCATAGTTCTGGGGCCAATGCCATTTGGCAGAGCAAGCTGTTTGATACTAATGATCTTTTTAGCTATCTGTAAGGATGGCTCACTGACCACCAATGTAAGGAGCATTCTTCTCACTGACCACCAATGTAAGGGTCATTCTTCCCACTGACCACCAATGTAAGGGTCATTCTTCCCACTGACCACCAATGTAAGGCGCATTCTTCCCACTGATCACCAATGTAAGGAACATTCTTCCCACTGACCTCCAATGTAAGGGACATTCTTCCCACTGACCTCCAATGTAAGGGACATTCTTCCCACTGACCACCAATTGAAGGACCATTCTTCCCACTGATCACCAATGTAAGGAGCATTCTTCCCACTGATCACTAATGTAAGGAGCATTCTTCTCCCACTGATCACCAATGTAAGGGACATTCTTCCCACTGATCACCAATTAAGGACCATTCTTCCCACTGATCACCAATGTAAGGGGCACATTCTTCCCACTGATCACTAATGTAAGGAGCATTCTTCTCACTGATCACCAATGTAAGGGACATTCTTCCCTCTGACCACCAATTGAAGGACCATTCTTCCCACTGATCACCAATGTAAGGGGGTCATTCTTCCTACTGACCAACAATGTAAGGTACATTCTTCCCACTGACCACCAATTGAAGGATCAATCTTCCCACTGACCAACAATGTAAGGAGCATTCTTTCCACTGATTACCAATGTAAGGAACATTTTTCGCACTGACCACCAATGTAAGGGATATTCTTCCCACTGACCACCAATGAAAGGAGCATTCTTCACAATGGCCACCAATGTAAGGGGCATTCTTCCCACTGAACACCAATGTGAGCACCATTCTTCCCACTGACCACCAATGTAAGCAGCATTCTTCCGCCTCGCCATCAATGTAAGGAGCAATCTTCCCACTGACCACCAATGTAAGGAGCATTCTTCCCACTGACCACCAATGTTAGGACCAATCTTCCCAATTTTTCTTTATTAAAGGTCTTGTACTCAAACATAAAATCATATACAAAAAATAAATAATTGTATACATATTTATTTATACAAAAACGAAAATAAATATAGCAAAATCTGCAAAACAAGCTGGCGCACCAGCAATGCCCAGAGGCACCCCACACAATGATCAACCCTCTAGCCTTCTTACTAAGAGGTCGATTGCGAAAGCATATTGCAGGGGCCTCAAAGGACATCCCTGGCGCACACCAGAGCCAACCTCAAAAGGCCATTCAACTCAACCATTAGCAAATGGGAATCTCTCAGCCCCTCTATATAATGTTATCAGCCAATCTATAAACATTCCCTGCAGGCCGTATCTACCAAGCAGCAACCACAGATATTCATGAGTCACTCGATGAAAAGCTTTTGCCTGATCCAATGCCAGCAAGTACTTTGTCCATCTGGCCAGGTGGGACTCAACCTTTTGATCTGCATACCAGCTCAAAATCAGCCTCCCTTTGCAGCCAGCTAACACTGTAACTGATTATGCTGGGGTATTTAAGGGATGGCCAGACCCACAGACTCTGCCTTGGTGTGTGTTTGTCCTGGGCCCTGTATCCTGTTTCTGTCCTGCATCCTGCATCCTGTTTCTGAACCGCTGCTGACTTCTCCTGCTCTGATCCCGGCTCGCTCCTGACCATCCCTCTGTCTGACCCTCTGTACCACGCTGCTTGCTACCTGTTCTGATCCCTGGCTTGTGACCCTGACCAATCTCCGCTTGCTCCCCCTGTACCTACCTGCCCTATTGATATTGACCCGGCCTGCCTGACGACGCTTGCTTGTATGTACTGTTATCTGTGGGTGGTTTGGTTTGTTTGCACTGTATTATGTTTTAGTATTGCACTGCGTTTATGTTTGTATTGTTAGTGTTAATAAATTATATTGTTTATAACATTCTGAGGTCTGCGTTTCCCTGCGTCAGTCACACATCTCTGCACACCTGGGAGCCCTGACATTGTCCATCCAGCAACCCTGCATTGCTCAAAAGCCTCCCGGTCACCAAAACTGCTGAAAAGGTACTTCTACCTTGGACTGCACAGTGCTGATGGCTGGACAACAAATCACCTGCTACTGACAACAAGCGCCAAAAAAGAATCTTTGCCAAGATCTTTCTATCAGCATTGAGAAGACTGATGGGGCACCAGCTGTTAAGCATTGAGGGGTCTTTACCTTTTGACAGAAGAATCAGTAGTTTGCCTCATGGAGGGAGGGAGCTAACCCTCTTCTAGACAGCTGTTAAAAAAACCTCTGCTAAAAAGGGAGCCAGAATGGACTTAAAACACTTTTAAAGTTCAGCTGTCAATCCATCTGGCCCAGGCGATTTTTTTTGGTAGCCAGCTTGTCTATAGCACGAACTACCTCATCCGCTGAAATTGGTTCTGTCAAATTCATCAAAAGCAATGTACCATTTCCCAATCCTGGAATAGAATCCAGAAAGCTTTTCATCTTGTCCCGGCTAAGGTCCTTTCTTCCCAGAAGGTCTTCATAATATGACCCGAAGATCTCCAAGATCTCTAATCTGGACTTCAGGGAACCTGTATTGTCTTTCGGGCCAATGACCGTCTTAAGTGATATGCCTTGCTTACAGTTCTGGTAAGGATCAGGTGAGTGATATTTCCCATAATCCCTCTCCAGAACCAAGGAGACACTTCCTAAGAAGAAGCTTTACTTCAGATCTCCCCTGGATTGCCTCTATATGAGACAAGATGATCAAGTTTCCTCCACAAATGCTGGTAGGCAATATACATGCCAAGTTGCTTCTTCTTACTTATGGCCTTGAAAAGTCCAATCGCCCTTTGTTTCACAAGCTCCCACCACTTTGACATACTGCTGCAAAAGTCTAGAATAGAAACCTGTGCCCGAAAAAAATCCTCAAAGGATTGTCTTACCTCTACATCTTCCAGGAGAGCCGAGTTTAGTTTCCAGACACCCCTTCCCCTGGGTGGAGTGCCCGAGGCATTCAGAGTCACAGACAGCATACAGTGGTCAGAGAACTCCACCGCCTTCAACTCAGGAGCTGAGAAAGCAGAGTTCTCCTTTTTAAAAAAACCTGTATATCCGGCTCTGACTTCCTTCTCTGAAATGTGCTTAATGTGTGCATATTTACCAGGCATGCCTGTCTAACCATATCTCTGAGAAAAACGCTATCATAACCCAGACTGTCTATGGAGCCTCTCCTGTCTTCAGGCCTAATTATGGTGTTAAAGTCACCTCCAAAGACAACCTGCTGGGACATAAAAAGGAAGGGCTTGATCTTTGTGAGGAGGCATTTCTTGTCTCATTTTGACTGGGGTCCATAGATATTGATCAGGCGCAGATCCTGCCCCCTAACAGAGACGTCTAAGACCATGCATCGCCCCATTTCTACCTCAATTACCCTCCGGCACGTTACCATATTGGTTATAAAAAGCACCTCAACTCCGCTGCAAGGTTCAGCCGCAAGAGACCAAAAGGAGGGACCACATCTCCACTCTTTTTGCTAGATGGACATCGGCCAATGTATTGAGCCAGGTCTCTTGCAAAAATAAAATCTCAGCATCAAACTCGCTGAGTAAAAATAAGGCCATATCACGAGCTCTTGCAGATTTAATGCTGGCGACATTAATGGTCGCCACCTTTAACAGAGTGGGAACTGCCATCAGGATGATTGGGGTAGTCGTTTCTTAACCTTTACCACACTCTCGTCACCTGAAACAGTTCTCTTCAGAGTATATGACTCCCCCTCATCCATAGATGATAGAGAAATTGTTAAATTAGTCTCTGTCTCATCACCTGACAAAACTGAATAGGTGTTGCCAAGAGGGACTCCTCCTGGGTCTGTTTCTGAGGAAGAAAGGACAGCTCTTCTCATCCTCTTCTTTTTCTTCCTCTTGACCCTCTCCCACCCCTCATCAGCTGAATCCACTCCCTGAGCCCCATCGGCCCCACCCCTTTCTACTACCCCCACACTCTCCTGACCACGTTTGCGCTTTAGTGGGACAGGTACCGGAGGTGGAGTAGACGGAGAAGGAAGATCTGCTAAACCCACCCCCCAAGCATCTTCCGCTAGTCTGGAGGATGTACGTACAGTAGGATTAGGAACAGGAGGGCCAGACTCGGGGAGGACATTACTAGGGGAAACAGAATCTGACACAACAGACACAGGAGGGGCAACAACAGTTTCCTCCCTAGCATCAGCTCCCTCATCTTCTTTATCCAGCCTCTGCAGCTCAGCCTCCAACCCTGGCAGGTTGTGTAGTGCCTCTGGGCACTGACTATATGGATGACCCAGCTGCTGGCACAAATTGCACCGAATCCGGGTGCATTCTTTGGCCAAATGGCCTAAATCCTGGCACAGTGAGCACTTCTTGATGGTACAGGACGATGCAAAGTGGTCTTTCTATCCGCATTTGTTACAAACCTTAGGCTGACCTTGATAGAAAATGGTCAGCCTTTCCCTCCCCAGAAAGGCTGAGCAGGGCGGGTACCCAGCACCTTCATTTGCAGCGACACTGTCCAGGCCCCTGTCCATATCCCATGCTCATCCAGGACCTTCTGCAGTGGGGTGAGAACCTCGCCATATCAGTGCAGCCACACTGCCAAATCAGCCTCTGGTATGGATTCATTACAAACTAGGATCGTCACCGATTTTATCAAAGGCTGCCTTGAAACCATCTTTGGCACCAAAACTCCACCTGCCAGGATTTTTCCTCCAAGTTGGCTGAGGATTCCTCCACAGCAGGCTGTTTGCAGAGCTCCTTCTCATCAGCAGCACTCACCGCAGCCTGTGGGGCAGATATGTTGGAAGGAGCCATCTTGGTGTACTGGGACTTCTCCACCAGTACTGGCTTTGCTGGTCTTTACCTCCTCTGTCCATCCTCATGGACTTCTGAAGAGTCATCAGAAAAGGCAAACCTGTCTGCCCTCAGGGGTGACTCCATCTGATGGATGAAGGTCAGGGTGCCATGTTCACTCACAACCCCTGGCTGGTTGCCGCTGACAACTCCGCAGCCTGACATGGGGGTGGAGACGCTGAGATAGATGGATCCATGTCATTCGTTACCTGGGGAATGCGGAGGAAGCAAGTGAAGATATGAAAACTTTTTGGCAGCTGCCCTTTGTCTTGGTGGCTTTACTTTGAGCTAATATAAGGTGGTGTTTCTGCTGAGTCCATCATCGTATACCGAGTACTAACTACAGCGAGCAGTCCTCGTCCATTAAGATGGTCCACCGAGAGGTCTGGAGGTCTTCCCCAGGTTGTAACCAGTACCATTGGAGTGCCTTTACCTACCGAGTCCCAGATGACTACTAGTGCCCTTATATTACATGCGTAATACTATCATACGTCTGGTGAGTGCAAGCACACCTCTTTTTCCTTCATATCACTGAAGTCACGTGCACAAATGTCTGGGAAAATCAGCGCATCTTGATTGAATACTTCAAGGACTTTCATACATATTCAGTTTTTTGCTGTTTGATATGTCATTATGAGATGATGTCACATTTTATTTAATACTGTCTTCATTAAAGACATTACTTATATGTTCACCCATTAACGCATAAGATTGCGTATTATATGTCACTATTTCACTGTATTATATATTAAGAGTGCTGCATCTTTTATATTAGTTACCTGAGGCTGCTTATCCCCAGAACTCGCTGATGTTTGGCTGGCAAATCGCCTCTCATTGTCAAACTTCTCTAATTGCTTCACTTCTTGCTTTCAGCTTTTCTTGTAATAAAGATTGTTTCTTCACCTTCTCCATCTGTTGTAATTCCGGCTTCACTCCAGGCCTGGCAGTATTTGACTCTGAAGGATTTAAGATCAGCCTTCAAAACTTTTAAGTTTTTCCTCAGCTCTTCCAATAGTCAAGAATCGATCGATAATCTTCTGTCTGAAGACATCCACATCCTCACCAGGGCCTGGACTCACAGTCAGGTCCTCCACCTCTTCCTTCTCCTCACTAGGCCCTCTGTCAT